AAAAGGACCAAAGAGGATGTCATAAATACCAGAAAGAAGGTTACTTGTGTTTTATTGACTATAGAAAGACATCTAAGTGTGTGGATCATAACAAATTATGGATAATAATGCCAAGAATGGAAATTCCAAAACCCTTAATTGTACTCTTGAGGAACCTGTACATAGACCAAGAGGTAGTTGTTCGAACAGAACAAGGAGACACTGACTGGTTTAAAATCAGGAAAGGTGTGTGCCAGGGTTGTATCCTTTCTGTATGCTGAGCACATAATCCGAGAAGCTGGGTTCTATGAAGAAAAACGTGGCATCAGGATTGGAGGAAGACTCATTAACAACCTGCGATAGGCAGATGATACAACCTTGCTTGTTGAAAGTGAAGAGGATTTAAGACGTTGATGAAGATCAGAGACTCTAGCCTTATGTGTGGATTACACTTCAACATAAAGACAACAAAAATCCTCATAATGGGACCAATAAACAACATGATAAATGGAAAAAGATAAAAGGAACCAAGGATTTCATTTTAATTGATGCACAATCAACACTCATGGAAGCAGCAGTCAAGAAATCAAATGATGAAAAAAAAAAAAAAAAAGAAATCAAATGATGTACTTATCGCATTAGGGGCCAATGTGCTGCAAAAGACCACCTTACAGTGTTCAAGAGCAAAGATGTCACTCTGAGGACTCAGGTGCACCTGACCCAAGCCTTGACAGTTTCAATCACCTCATATGCATGTGAAAGTTGGACAATGACTAGGGAAGACCACAGAAGAATCGATGCATTTGAGTTATGGTGCAGGAGAAGAATACTCAAAGTACCATGGAGTGCCGGAAGAACAAACAAATCTGTTTTAGGAGAAGTACAACCAGAGTGTTCCTCAGAAGTGAAGATGGTGAGACTTTGTATTTGGGCCATGTGATCAGGAGGGACCAGTCCCTGGAGAAGGACATGATACTTGATAAAATTAAAGGTCAGCGATCAAGAAGAAGACCCCAGTGGAATGAATTATGACCCAGTGGCTGCAAAAATAGGCTTAAACATAGCAACAGTTGTGAGGACGGCGCAGGACTGACCAGGGCCTCATTGCTGTGAGTTGGAGTTGGTTCAATGGCACCAAACAGCGGTCATTCCTGATGAGTGTCCAAAGTAAGAGTTCCATACGTTCCCCAACCTCGCTTGGCTGTAGGTGATGTGTGATGGTATACAATAATATATAGTCTCCAAATTGGCAAAGTGGCAGCATCAGTGGGCTCAAGTGTGGCAACGATAGTGAGGTTGGCCCAGGATTGGGCAGTGTTTTGTTCTACTATGCATAAGGTCCCTATGAGTTGGTACCGACTTGATGGCACCTAACAACAACAATTGGTTTTAGGTGCTGATGTGAGCTTTATGTGTTTTGCCTAATTAACTCTCTACGGTGATGGTGGTGGTGGTGGTGGTTATGTGCCGTGGAGTTGCAACTGACTCATAGCAACTCTGTTCAGGGTTTCCGAGGCTGTAGATCTTTATGGGAGCAGAAAGCCTCATCTTTCTCCTGTGGAACAGCTGGTAGTTTCGAACTGCTGGCCTTAAGGTTCACAGCCCAATTCGTAACCATTACACTACCAGAGCTCCTTTACTCTCTACGTTAGGTGCCAAGAAGTCCCAGTGGCACAGATGGTTAAGTGCTGAGCTGCTAACAGAGCTCAGTGGTTCAAACCCACCAGCTGATCCCTAGCAGAAAGATGAGGCAACAGTCTACTTGCTTAGAGATGACGGCCTCAGAGACTCCATGGGGGCAGTTCTACTGTCTTCCAGGGTTGCTAGGAGTTGGAATGGACCCAACGTCACTGGGTTTGGTTTCAGTTTTGATCATCCCTTTCACAGATGAGGAAACCGTGGGTGGGTCAGTAACATGGCTAAAATCCCCACATTGCTAAGAGGCCTCTGACACAACCCCTTGTGACAACTCTGCCTCTCTCAGAGGACATGGGGGTCTCCTCCCCTATCCACTGGGTCTGCCCCATTACTGAATTCCCCTCACCCAGCCACTTCGTAACTATAGGTACAAGAGAGGCGAGCAGAGCCCCTCCAACCTCTCATGTTACCCCCAGAACCCGGCAGGGAGCCGTGTTCTCACAGGAACCAGTGGGGGGAGGGGGCAGCCCTAAGCCCTGGCCCGGGACCCTGACTGAAATGGCCACCTTTTCTTTCTCTAGTCCCCAGGACCCAGCCTGGCCCGGAATGGCCACCTGTGTGTGCTCTGGTCCCCAGCTCCGCACCTGGCCCTGCACACTCCAAGAAACATAGACGCGTCTCCAAGACAACTGTGAGACACCAACCTCTCTCTCCGTTTAGATGGGCATCTGACCCCATTGCTCCCACCCCCAAAAACCTTTCAATAGCTTGCCTACTCCACCTCTTCTGCTTCACAAAGCGGGTTCTCCGGAACCCCAGTGAGACACGAGGAGACCTCTGCTGTGGATTGGACTGTACCCTTTAAAGGACCTGCTGAAGTCCTAACCCCACACCCAGAGAGCGGGATCTTGTTTGGGACCCGTGAAGCAAGCTGAGTTAGTACAAGGGTGTCCTGGTCCTAATCGCAGCCCATGAGGATCAAGCCAAGGAGGAAACATTGAGGAGCAGCTAGAGCCCCCAGAAACCGGGCAAGAGGCGGGGACAGAGTCTTCCTGGGAACCTCCACAGGAACTGACCCGGCAGACACCCTGATTCTGGGCTCCCAGCCTCCAGGACCCTGAGACGGTGTGTTTCTGTTCTTACAAACCATTGACTCGGCTGTAGGATAAGCACTCAACCATAAGGTTGGTGGTTCAAACTCACCAGTCACTGTTTGGAAACCCTATACAGGGTCGCTATGAGTTGGAACCGAACCGATGGCACTTAAAAAGTAACTCTTTTTGGGCAGCTGTCAGAGACACGTAAACTGTGGAAATGTCCTTGGCATAGTAACATTTGGGGTTCCTGCTCCCTGAACCTCACTACAGGGGCAAGAGACAGGAGCCCCATGGGGTCAGGGGAGCTGGGGTTAGAGCGCCCCAGCCTTTTGAGGCCATGAGACTTTTTATTTTCAGAATGCTGTGTAGCTCTGTGGGTTAATGCGCCAGACTGCAAAGCCGTTTGAACTGCAAAGTTAGCAGTTCAAACTCACCAGCTACTCCTTGGAAACCCTACACAAGGTCGCTATGGGTCAGAACTGACTTGATGGCACTTAACAACAACAACAAAGCACATAGGAGCCCTGGTAGCGTAGTGGGTTCTGAGGTGGGGGCAAAGTCAGCAGTTCATATCTACCAACTGATCCAAGGGAGAAAGAGGAGGCTGTGTGCTCCCGTACACACTGACCACCTCGGAAACCCCATGCAGGGTCGCTGTGAGTCAGAACTGACTGGGCGACACTTACCACCACCAACAAAGCACATGTGGGGATGCCCTGGCGGAGCAGTGCGTAAGCACTGACAGGTGGGAGGTTCGAGCCCACCAGCTGTTTCATGGGAGATAGATGACGCTGTCTGTCCTGTAAAGATATGTAACTTCGGAACTTCTAAGGGGCAGCTCTACTCTGGCCTCTATCCACACTAAGAGTCAGAATTGACTTGCAGGCGGGGAGGCTGGGGTTTGGAGGTACAAGTGGGGTCACACTGACCTACAGGCTGGAGGAAGCTCGTTGGCCGGACACTTAAAGTCATTCATCACCCTGTCCCCTGAGACCTCCCCACCTCCTCCCTTCCTCCCAGCTTCTGGGAGCTTTTGCCCTTCCCAGCACCACTCGCCATGCAAAGTCCTCCCCAGAAACTTGTTCTGGTCCTTCAAGATCTGGGCACCCAGGCAGACCAGACCCTGTGGTCTCCCAGGGAGACTGTACTGGGACCACTGGCTCCCTGCCAGCTGCAGCTGAGGGCCACTCCTCTCCCTGAGCCCTGAGCCCTGAGCCCTGAGGCCAGCGTGGGATTGGCCAGCACCGGGCTTTACTGAGTACTGGCCTCCTCGCTGTGGCACCCAAGCATGCCTGGGACAGCGGGTTTCCTAGAACTTTCCTCCATTCTCAATGCTCCTGGCTGGTTTGAAACAAACCCTTAAATCATTGCTGATACATCACCTCCAGCTCGTGAGAACTCCTGTGTGTCAGAGCAAACCTGTGATACGATTGCGATTTAGGAAGTAGCTCACCAGGTCTTTCTTCCGACACACCTCAGGATGGGTTAGAACTGCCCATCTTTGGGTTAGCAGCCAAGCTCTTCTTCACCTAGGGCTCCCTTGGGTAAAGCCACTGAATAGTTTCTACTTTGATGTGGCACTGGAGGCTCAGCACTGGACTGCTAACAGCAAGGTCAGCGGTTCAAACCCACCAGCAGCTCCTCAGAAACCCTATACAGAGTCTCTATGAGTTGGAACCGACTCGACTACACGTAACAACAGCAACAGGGCATCATGTTTTTTTGGAATTGGATTGCCAGTCCTTTCTTCAACAGCACTCCGGGTAGCTTCAGACTGTCAGCCTTCAGGTCAATAACTCAACACAAACTGTGCTGCCCAGGGACCACTCTAGGGTGTGAGGGGACTGAGAAACCCCCTACCCACAATAGCCCTGACTGTTCCCCAACAACTTCTCCGACATGCGCTTCACTTGCACTGAACAAAGGAAAATGGGCACGCAAGCAAGATTTAGCGCTTTTCACTACATGTGCCAACAGAGCAGAGGACCAGGGAGGGGACAAGGGCAGGCCAATTTGGATGAGGCCAGAGCAGGGGAGAAGCCAGAGCTAGCCAGGGTCAGGCATGCCCTGCCTTCACTCTACCTCTGGGATTCTGGGGCCCCGGATAGTGGTTCACATAGCTGGGCTCAGTGTCCCCACGTGGAAGACCAGAGGGCTGGCTGGATGATTTTTAAAGTGCCGTCCAATTGCGCCTGCCTGGGAGTTCAGTTCGCAACGCTGGGCCCCAGGCCTGGCCTCAGTTTCCCCGAAGGCCCGGCCACTCCCCGCAGCCCGCGCTTACCCGACGGGCAGGCTCCCTTCTGCAGTTGGCGCACGGGCGTCCCGGAGAGCTGCAGCGCGCGGCGGCTGGCCGCCTGTAACGCGCACACGTTGGTGTAGGTGTGCCCGTCGGTGCCACACACGGCATGTGTCCAGCGACAACGACAGACGCCGCCCACACAGTCCAGGCTCTCCCCACACGGTGAATCCAACGGGCGGCCACAGGGCTCGCCCTCGCCCGCGGCGCACACTAAGCAGCATTTACAGCGGTCGGGCACGTAGCCGCGGGGGCAGCGGGGGCTCGGGCACCGCGACACGTCGCAGCGCGCAGGGCACGACGCCACCGGAGAGTCCTGGGCCAGCGCCAGCGAGGCCAGCGCCGACAGGAGGAGCGTCCGCACCGGCATGGCGCCCGGGGACCGCCGGGCCTGCGCTGCCAGGGCCGAGGGCGGCCTCGGGAACCCAACCGGGCGCGCAGGGGACAGGCGCCCGCTCCCTCTGGCGGGCCGGCAGTCTGCTGGCGGCGACGGCGGCGGGGGCGCTTAAAGGCGGGGACCTGCCCGCCCTCCCTGGAAGGGGCGGCCTGGTCTTCCAGCCCCGCCCCTGCCGCCAGCCTTCCGGGAAGCGGGGGCGATGGCTCACAGGGTCCCCGCTGTGGATGGCGTGGGGATCGGGAGCCCCCGGAGAGTCCTGAGTCCCTCCCCACGGAAATCAACAAGTCTGGCCTTACCCCTCCTTCCCTTCACAGCCCCTCCGGGCGGGCCCCTCTTCGCCCTCCCTTCCCCCGCACGCTGACATCCTAAATCCTCATTCCTGCCAAAGGCCCTGGGGTCTCTAGGTCCTGACTCCCACCTGTAGTGGAGACAAAGCTTCAGGAAAGCCCCACCCCTGTGCCCCCACCGGTCTCTCCTGTCTTCAGCTTGGCTACTATCCTGAGCTCCTTAGCTTCCAGGCTTCTGACCCTGAGAGTTGTCTGCCCTCTGCCTCAGTTTCCTGCTCCAAAAAGAGGAATTCTCCGCTGCCATGGAGGCTGTGTCCGAGGCTATAAACCTTCACGGGAGCAGACAGCCTCCTCTTGATTCCGCTCAACAGCTGGTGGGTTTGAACAAGTGATCTTGCCATTAGCAGTCAAATGTCTATTCCAGGACTCCACCAGGGTCCTTTAAAAGATAAATTAATGGGATCTTCCCCCCTGTTCTTGTGGTGCTATGGACTGCTAACCAGAAGGTGGGCAGTTCAATCCCACCAGCATCTCTGCAGGAGAATATAAAGATTTACAGCCTCGGAATCAGAAACAACATGATGACTGTAGGTTGTTCCCTAGAAGAAGTGCTGGGTTAAAAGGATGGGAATAATATTCAAGAGGTTTTTCCTGGCTCACTCATCGTGGGACTGAAAGCTTTGGCTTTCTAGTCTTATTCAGCACTAAAGTCATCCTGTGGTGGACTGTGACTCACAGCGGCCTTGTAGCACAGACTAGAATTGTTCCCGAGCTTCCCAAGGCTGCCATCTGACGCCCTTAACAACAACGACAGTCTCTTTGGAAGCACATGGTCCCATCGTTGAGCAGCTGGTGGGTTTGAACCTCCAACCTTTCAGTTAGCACTAGTGAAGCAGCTTGGAATAACCTTTGATTCCAAACCCAAAGGCCTGCCCTGAGGACAGGGAGGCCAAGGAGTGGGCCACCCCTTCCCTCTTTGTAGTAGAACTTCAGGAAGGTTGGTACAAGGAAGGGGAGTCGTGGGGTGGACAGCCAGGAGCCCGGTGACACCTGTCCACTATTGGTGTCTTCTTCTGGTATTTAAAATCCCAGTGCCATAGCTTCCAGCATCACAGCCATACTCAAGCCACAACATACAACAAACTGACACAAGAGTGAAGACTACATACATCATACATACAATTAAATAAGTACAAATTTCAAAACATGACATGTAATTAAGCCACAAAAATGGTTACAAAGATCAGAAAGGATCCAACACAGGTAGAGAGAGAGTGTGTTGGGGAGAACCTTCAGCCTTCCCGTTCTCCACAACCTCCCCACCCCCAAGATTCCTAACCTGGGCATCCATCCAGAAACTGGGATGGAAACAAACAACTTTGCTATGTTTATTAGCGTCTCCCACGGAAACCCAGCGTCTTCATCAATGAAGTTGGCCCAACACACAAGAGTACCTGTGGCTGGTGCAGCCTCCAAGCCCAGCTAAGGGCAGAGTTCTTTGTTGTTGTTGGGTGTCACCCAGTCGATTCTGACTCATTGCGACCCTCTGCACAACAGAACGAAACCCTGCCCACTCCTCTGCCATTCTCACGATCGTTGTGAGAATCTCGAGTCCATCGCTGCTGCCACTGTGCCAGTCCATCTCACTGGGGGTCTTCCTCTTTTTCACTGACCCACAACTTTACCCATCATGCTGTCCCTTCTCTGGGGACTGGTCTCTCCTGATAATATGTACACAGTATGAGACATGAAGTCTGGTTATCCTGGCTTCCAAGGACCACTCTGGCTGTACTTCTTCCAACACAGTGTTGTCTGTCCTTCTAGCTGACCATGGTACTTTCAATATTCTCCTTCAACACCATATCTCAATTGCATCGATTCTTCTACAATCTTCCTAAGTCACTGTCCAAGTTTCACATGCATATGAGGTTATTGAAAATACCATGGCTTGGGTCAGGCACACCTTAGTCCTCAAACTGTTATCTTTGCTCTTGAATACTTTAAAGAGGTCTTGTGAAGCAGATTTGCCTAGTGCAATACGTCATTTGATTTCTTGCCTGCTGCTTCCATCAGTGTTGGTTGCGGATCCTAGCAAAATGATGTCTTTGAGAACTTCAATCTTTTTTCCATTTATCTTAATGTTATTTATTGGTCTAGTGGTGATGATTTTTGTTTTCTTTACATTAAGGTGCAACCCATACTGAAGGCTGTGCTCTTTGATCTTTATCCATAAGTATTTTAAGTCCTCTTCACTTTCAGCAAGCAAGGTTGTATCATCTGCATATCACAGGCTATTAATGAGTCTTCCTCCTATCGTGATGCCACGTTTTTCTTCATAGAACCCAGCTTCTCAGATTATTTGTTCAGCATACAGATTGAATAAGTATGGTGAAAGAATACAACCTTATCTCACACCTTTCCTGATTTTAAACCATTCAGTATTCCCATGTTCTGTTTGAACAACTGCTTCTTGGTCTATGTACAGGTTTCTCATGAACATTATTAAGTGTTCCGGAATACTGATACTTCGCAATGTTGTCCACAGCTTTGTCATAATCCAAACCATTGAAAGCCTTTACTTAGTCAATAAAGCACAGGGTGACATGTTTTTGGTATTTTCTGCTTTCAATCAAGACCCACCTGACGTCAGCAATGATATCCCTCATTCCACATCCTCCTCTGAATCTGGCTTGAACCTCTGGCCGTTCCCTGTCCATGTACTGTGGCAGCTGTTTTTGATTCTACTACATGCGTGTCTGGGTGTAGCAATAAGATTCTACTACAACATGTCTGGTTTGTAGCAACAAGAGACTTTTTCCTAGCACATCATCTGGCTCTGGCCAGGCACCAAACGCACAGGAATGTTGGGAACTGCCTGTCACCACCACCACATGCGCCCTTAGGGACAGGGACAGGCACCACTGTGTTTCCGGCCACCCAGGTTACAGTGGGGCTAGCATCAAAGACAATGCCTGTCCAAACAGCCTAGGGTTGAAGTATAGAGAGGGCCAGCAGTTTGTTTCTGTCACTCTCTCATTTACAGATGGGAAACCGAGGCTCCGGGAGGCCTAGAGCTGCTGACTGCTGCAAACCAGTGTTGGGACAGCTTTCTGCAGTTTGTAACTGGTAACAACGTCTGTTTCCCGGTTTAAATTAGGAAAGCTGTGTGTCAGAGTTGTATCATTTCAAACTCACCAGCCGTTCCTCGGAAACCTTATACAGGATCGCTATGGGTCAGAACTGACTCAACAGAACACAACAACAACAACATTTTATGTGTATGCTGAGCAGATAATTTGAGAAGCTGAACTATATGACTATATGAAGAAGAATGTGGCATCAGGATTGGAGGAAGACTCATTAACAACCTGTGATTTGCAGATGACACAACCTTGCTTGCTGACAGTGAAGAGGACTTACAATACTTATTGATGAAGATCATAGACCACAGCCTTCGGTTTGGATTGCATCTCAGTGTAAAGCAAACAAAGATCCTCACAACTGGATCAACAAACACCATCATGATGAGTGAAAAATATCAAAGCTGTTAAGGATTTAATTTTATTAGGATCCCCAATCAACACTCAGGAAAACAGCAGTCAAGAAATCAAATGATGTATTGCACTGGGCAAATCTGCCACACAAGACCTCTTGAAAGTGGCTCAAGAGCAAAGATATCACTTTGAGGACTAAGGTACACCTGATCCAAGCCATGGCATTTTTCAATAACCTCATTTGCGTGTGAAAGTTGCGCAGTGAATAAGGAAGATCAGGGAAGAATCGATGCATTTGAATTATAGTGTTGTGACGCATATTGAAAGTACCATGGATTACAACAAGACCAAACGCATCTGTCTTGGAAAGAGTACAGCCAGAGTGTCCATGGAAAGCAAAAAGGTTGTGACTCTATCTCGTGTCCTTTGGACATGTTATCAGAAAGGATAATCCTGGAGATGGACCTTGATAAGTGCTTGATAAAGTACATATTGTTGTTAGGTGCTGTTGGGTCCATTCCAACTCATAGTGACCCTGTACACCACAGAGTGAAATACTGCGCGGTCCCGTGCCAACCTTACAATCGTTACGCTTGACTTCATTGCTACTACCACTGTGCCAGTCCATCTCATTGTGAGTGTATCAGGGCGTCGCCCTCTTTTCTCCGATCTTCCACTTTGCCAAGCATGGTCTCTCCTGATAACATGTCCAAAGTCTGAGAGATGAAGCTTCATCATCCTGGCTTCCAAGGAGCATTCTGGTTGTACTTCTTCCAACATAGATTTGTTGGATCTTCTGGCAGCCCATGGCACTTTTAGTATTCTCCTCCAACACCATAATTCAAAAGCATCAATTATTCTACGGCCTTCCTTATTCACTGTCCAGCTTTCACATGCATATGAGGCTATTGAAAATACCATGGCTTGGGTCAGGCGCAGGTGATTGGAAACGTCATGACTTGGGTCAGGTTGTTGTTGCTAAGTGTCGTCGAGTCAGTTCTGATTCCTAAACACCCTGTCTAGGGTTTCTGAGGAGTGGCTGGTGGGGTTCCTAAATCAGGTTCATATGAACTGATGTCAGTCTGTGGGGTACTGGTAGGAGCCAAGTCCCTTCCTGTGCATCCTGAACATGCTTTCATCTGGTCCCAGAGCCAGTGTCCTTGTTTTATGGACGAGAAACCCAAGGTCAGAG